GATAGATAGATATAGATAGATAGATGATAGATAGATAGATATAGATAGATAGATGATAGATAGATAGATAGATAGATAGATAGATAGATAGATAGATAGATAGATGATAGATAGATAGATAGATAGATGATAGATAGTAGATGATATAGATAGATAGATGATAGATAGATAGATAGATATAGATAGATAGATGATAGAAAGATGATAGATAGATAGATGATAGATAGATAGTAGATGATATAGATAGATAGATAGATAGATAGATAGATAGATAGATAGATAGATAGATAGATAGATGACATGATGTACTTAGCACACAGAAAGTGATCAGTACATGGTGGTGGTGGCTTATTATTATTGAATCAGTGATGACCAGCACCTTAATGACTAGAGCAGAGTGTGTGATGAGAGAAAGGCGGCAAACAGTAGAGATTCTCTACTCACAGTAGAGAATCAGCAGCACTGAAAAGAAGCAAGTAAATCATGCAAAAATCAGACAAGGATCGAATGTTTGAACACAGTAACAAATGCACTTTAAATATTATAGCCAAACGTTTCATTCACCTCTAATCTTCAGAATAGGTCAGGCAACAGTCTTCCCCTCTCTCTCCCATCTCTGTGTGCTGAGGCGCTTGTGCTTGAGCACACACACTTCGCACAGGGCCTTCAACAGCAGAGCTAGTAGGGACCTTTGAGGTTTTAGTTTTCTTAATAAATTTTATTTTTTAGAGAAGTTTTAGATTTATAGAAAAATTGAGCAGAAGTACAGAGGGCTCCCTTGTGCCCCTCCTCCCATCCCCCCACTGTTTCCCCTGTTATTAACATGTTGCATTAGAGTGGTTCATTTGTTATAGCTAATGAATGAATGCGGATACATTATTTTTATTAAAGTCTGTAGTATACAACAGGGTTCACTCTTTGTGTTATACGTTCTATGAGTTTTGACAAATGCGTAATGTCACGCATCTATCATTACAGTATCATACAGAACAGCCTCAGTGCCCTAGAAATACTTTGTGTTCCAACTGTTCACCTCTCTTCCTCCTTCCGAAACTCCTCACAGCTGGTCATTGCACTGTCTCTATGGGTTTCCTTTTCTAGCCTGTCATATAGGAGGAATTATACAGTGTGCAGTCTTTCTGGACTGGCTTCTTCCCTTAGCAGTATGCTAAGTATCTTCTCATGGCTTGATAGCTTATTCCCTTTTGATGGCTGAATACTATTCCATTGTACAGGTGTACTATAGTATGTTTCTCCTGTTGAAGGGCACCTTCTTGGTTGCTTCCGAGTTTAGGCAATTATGAATAGAAATGTCTGTGAACATTCATGTGCAAGTTTTTATGTAAATATAAGTTTTCAACTCCTTTGAGTAAATACCAAGGAGAGCGATTGCTGGATTGTATGCTAAGGGTTTATGTAGTTGTGTTAAGAAACTGCCAAGCTGTGTGGCATTCCCACTGGCAATGAGGGAGAGTTTCTGTTGCCGACAGCAATATGGTAGAATCAGTGTTTCGGGTTTTAGCCATTCTAATAAGTAGTATCTTATTGTTTTAACTTTCGATTCCCTGATGATACCTGATGTTGAGCATCTTTTCATGTGCTTTCTTGTCATGTGTGTATCTGAAGTATGCCCAGATCTTCTGCCCATTTTTCAGTGTTGTTTGTTCTCTTATTGTTGAATGTTGAGAATTCCTTATCGATTTTGGATACAAGTCCTATATTAGATATGAGTTTGCCAACAGTATTTTCCCCCAGTCTGTGGCTGATCTTTTCATTCCCTTAAGATTGAGGCTCAGAAAATTGTGTGATTTGCTGCCAACTTTGTGGCCAGTCGGTGACAGAGCCAGAACGAGAGCCCTGGGAGCCCGAGTCCTCTTGCTGTGGGCCCCCTGGGGAGAACCTCCGGGTGCCCTGCTGGGGGCAATACCAAGCGTTAGAATCTTCTGTCTTTAAACAGGCTGTCCTTGCTTTTATATTCCTTGCTTAGGGCAGAAGAGATGAAAGTCTAAAAGTGGATGAGCAGCTGGCCAAAAAGGATGCCCAGGTCAGTACCAGAGCAAAGAAAACGTCTCCTTTGACTACAGCCTCCCCTGCTTGTCTACGTTCTCACTTCTGTGGCACCAGCCGGGCTGTCGTCTCCTGTCCTGTCTGAAGGAGAAGCCTGAAGGCCGGGGACCACCCAACCCCAGCTCTTGCCTCCCCTGTGGGCTATTACTCCCCTCGCCCCTACCACCCCAGCTCTCAGAGTTCCAGTCTGCTAATTGAAGAATTATCTCTCTGACTCTCAAACAAAGTAACCCCCTCACCCTTCTCCTTCCACCTCTTCAATCTGAGAGAAAGAGAATTGTGTCCATAATGACCTGTGCGTCTTCCCGCCTTGCCGCAGATTCTCTATAACGCGGGTGAGAACCGATGGGGCACAGACGAAGATAAATTCACCGAGATCCTGTGTCTAAGGAGCTTTCCCCAACTAAAACGAAGTAAGGACTCTCCTCACACTCCTTTTGGCTTTGTGTTGTTTTGCAGATGTTTTCTGGGTTTAATATACAAAGCTCTGGAAAATGGAGTTAAAAATTGCAGAGGCTGTTCCGTTTTTATGTATCAACAGTTCAGGAAACAAGTCAGGGCAGAACTGACAGGACTCATTCCCCTAGGGGCTGAGTAGGGACCTAGTGAGACAGGTGGGGGGG